CAAATCCGAGTTGTTGCAGGCACACGTCAAGGGGCTTCGGCAATGCATTGCTGAGATTGAATTTGTGGAGGCGGAGGTGAAGAAGCAAGAGGCGGTGTCTTTGATGTATACTTTGGAGGCATCTCTTCATCACTTGCAGCGACCTCCCCGCTTCATCCAAGCAGTGGCCGAGTGGATGCAGCTATTTACGCAAGAGTTTGGCTTTCGTACGAGATTTCCCTTCCTGGTGCTACATGGACCAAGTCAGTTCGGTAAGACTCAGTACGCCAAATCGCTTTGTGGGGCTGATAAGACGCTTATTCTATCGTGCCAGGGTATCTCACGGCCAAATTGCAAGGACTTCGACCGTACTCGTCATCAATGCATTATTTTTGACGAGGCCGACCACACATTAGCGCTGCAAAACCGCCAGCTCTTTCAATCGACTTGCTCTCCTATCACATTGGGCCAGAGCCCGACTCAGCAGCACGCATACACCATTTTTGTGTATGCTATCCCTCTCATTGTTTGCACCAATATTTGGTGCCACGAAGACCCATGGCTGCAGGCCAATTCCGTTTATGTTGAAGTTGATTCGAAGCTGTGGCGAGACGAGCTCGCGATCCAAGATGCTCCAGCGCACTGATCGAAGATTAGCTGCGGCTTGAGGTTGGAAAGTGTGTTGCTAGCTGCTTTGTGGAGTTTCGGGTTTTCCTCCTTTCGGTCCATCAGTGTCTCTCGCATCAAGTTGTTTTTAATATCACTTGATGTTGCCCTCTAGCTCCAGAGCCCCGCATGATTAGATGCATACAGGACTGGTTTAAAAAGGAACATTATCATTGTGTGGCCCTCAATCCACATCGCCAAGGCCACAAACCATTCTCCGTACCTTGGGTTTGCTAGAGGATACCCAGGCGTTTTGGAATGTAGTCCAGAGAAACGTAGGTGCTGACCTTTGGTGTGAAGTGACCATCCTTTCCTTGAGTTTCGAGTTCTGCAGATCGCTTGCCCAGGACATCTGACCTGCTGATGTGACAGCCGCCGGTGTAAAAAGGGTCTTGCTTTTTGGACCTAAAATTGTGGCCAATTTCGGCTTCATCAAAGTGGTTCCTCATTGTATATACATATATATATATATCACCATATATACTGTATGATATATATATGGTCCCCCCCCCAAGCCAAGGTTTTGCTAATTTACTGTGGTATGTGCAGTATTTTATGCATGTTTTCGGATGTATGGCAAACACTAGTTAAAAAACAAAATCCTTGAAGTGTAAGCCAAAAATACCAAAACCAAAAAAACCAAAGAAAAAAAAACCATCAGCCTTGGAGGATGTCCAATGACTTTAGTTTTTTTGGTGTTTGTTTTTTTGTTTTTGTTTTTGGGTCCTGTTAGTCTTTTAGTCTTTTTGGTCTTCTCTTCTTACCGACCGGAAACCCAAACACTATTGGCATGTCTTGACGTTGCCTCTGGTGTTGAAGCAGCATTTCCTCATCAAGCTTGGTTCGCTCCTTGTCATCCGTTTGTGTTGCTATGCCTGTTGTGCCTTGCGCTATTGCTGCGGCGAAGCCGAAGCAGTACACGAAAGACGATTGGGAGTATCTTGTCTGAATAAATGATTACCAAGCAAAATTTGTCTCAAATCAACATCACTGCCTGCTTTCAAATCTATAAGCTTCATCTCTTTCATCCCTTTTCAGATCGGGCGCTATGGGCGTGGAAACCAGTGATCTGCAGCCTCTTGTCTAAAAAATGTTCGCATGGCATTCTCTGGCTTGTAGCCTTATCCTCACTTCATCCAATCTCAGGCTTGATGACATGGAAGTCGACATCAGTGAGCCGGAGCCTCCTGGACAACACATTGCGCAACACCAGCTGCACATGGCTACCTTCCTCGCCCATCTGCCGCCTCTCGCGCCTCAGGTATGAGCTTCTGGACGACGGGGGCGAGATGGTACCGAGAACTCCACCGCAACTCTGGGGAACATGACTGAACGGGGTTTCACCTGGGACACCCGAAGGGTCACCCCCACCTACGCCTCCTCAAGCTGTTTTACCAGGCACTCCAGGGCCTCCTCCTCCTACGCCTCCTGCAGCTTTCTTTCCAGGCACACCTCCAGGGCCTCCTCCTCCAGGTGCTTTGCCTGTAACCCCGCCAGAAGCTTTTCGACGGCCACAAACGCCGCGTTCGCCACTTATTATCTGTCTGCTGACTGGCATGCGTCTTCTGAATCATTCCTCTCCATTCCAACATTGGCTCTGGAGGGGGGGCTAGCATATATATATATATATATACACATAAACAGTATATATATATATCTTATATAGAACTGTATAAATAAATAAATAAATATATATATATATTTTTTTTCCCCAAACAGTTTACTGTTAGGGGTTCTCAATGCTTTAAAGAATGGTCACCTTGGTGCTGGATGGTCTGGTCGGGTTCCCGGCCGGCTTGTCTCCCACTTCCTTTTATTTGTCTCCCAGTTCTTTTCATTTGTCTCCCAAGCTCGGTGCTTGTGGTCGGGTTCGCGGCTGGCTTGTCTCCCACTTCCTTTCATTTGTCTCCCACTTCTTTTCATTTGTCTCCCAGTTCTTTTCCCACTTCCTGTCATATGTCTCCCACTTCTTTTCATTTGTCTCCCAGGCTGGGTGCTTGTGGTCCGGTTCCCGGCTGGCTTGTCTCCCACTTCCTTTCATTTGTCTCGCGCTTCTTTTCATTTGTCCGGCTGGGTCTTGTGGTCGGGTTTGCGGCTGGCTTGTCTCCCACGTGCTTTCATTTGTCTCCCACTTCTTTCATTTGTCTCCCAGTTCTTTTCATTTGTCTCCCAGTTCTTTTCATTTTTGGTCTCCCAGGCTGGGTGCTTGTGGTCGGGTTCCCGGCTGGCTTGTCTCGCACTTCCTTTCATTTGTCTCCTACTTCTTTTCACTTGTCTCCTTTCCTTTCATTTGTCTCCCAGGCTCGGTGCTTGTGGTTGGGTTCCCGGCCGGCTTGTCTCCCACTTCCTTTCCCACTTCTTTTCATTTGTCTCCCAGTTCTTTTCATTGTCTCCCAGGCTGGGTGCTTGTGGTCGCGGGTTTGCGGCTGGCTTGTCTCCCACTTCCTTTCATTTGTCTCCCACTTCCTTTCATTTGTCTCCCACTTCTTTTCATTTGTCTCCCACTTCTTATCATTTGTCTCCCAGGCTGGGTGCTTGTGGTCGGGTTTCCGGCTGGCTTGTCTCCCACTTCCTTTCATATGTCTCCCACTTCTTTTCATTTGTTTCCCTGGGTGCTTGTGGTCGGGTTTGCGGCTGGCTTGTCTCCCACGTGCTTTCATTTGTCTCCCACTTCTTTCATTTGTCTCCCAGTTCTTTTCATTTGTCTCCCACTTCTTTTCATTCCCCAAACAGTTTACTGTTAGGGGTTCTCAATGCTTTAAAGAATGGTCGCCTTGGTGCTGGATGGTCTGGTCGGGTTCCCAGCCGGCTTGTCTCCCACTTCCTTTGTCTCCCAGTTCTTTTCAGTCGGGGTTCCCGGCTGGCTTGTCTCCCACTTCCTTTCATTTGCCTCCCAATTCTTTTCATTTGTCTCCCAGGCCACTTCCTTTCATTTGTCTCCCACTTCTTTTCATTTGTCTCCCAGGCTGGGTGCTTGTGGTCGGGTTCCGGGCCGGCTTGTCTCCCACTTCCTTTCATTTGTCTCTCACTTCTTTTCATTTGTCTCCCAGGCTGGGTGCTTGTGGTCGGGTTTCCGGCCAGCTTGTCTCCCACTTCCT